ATGATTAACTTTTCTGAGGTACACTGTCTTTACAAGTCATGGTGTGGTAATGTCACCATGATTAGGAGGATCTACCTTTAGCACCTGAAATAAAATGTTGAAAACTGGTCTATTTTGGAAGTCAGTTGTTTCATCAGCAATCATGGCAATGGAGTTTCCTTTCAGTTTGTTGAGAAGATGCTGCTTTTCCTCTTCAAAAAGGGTTGGTAAGTAATGTGAATGCAATAAGTTTGTTTAGGGCTTTCCATGTGTTCTACAATTGTCTGCCTGTGAATGTAATCTACAGCGTTGTTGCACACAGCATAGAACAGCACATTACCATCAGTGTGAAATTTGTCCTTGCCAAACTTAGTGATACTGTCTTTAAGGGATGATTTTTAAAGTTTTCGGCATCTTTTCATAACTTTAATTATTCACATCTGGATGCTGAAGTGAAATTTGAGATGCATTAAAACACGAGCCCCTATACACCGTTGAGTAACCTCTATGGCTAGGGACAGAAGTTACATATAAAACAGTTTAAGTGATCAGAAACTGGTTTAAACCTGTAACAGAACACAAGTTCAGTGCACATAAACCAGTTTCAAAATGGCTGAAACTAGTTTAAGATAAATCTGCTTTAATGTAGTATAGACATAACTGATTTAGGTCAAACTAGTTTATGAAAAATCTGTCCCAGACCCCTTCCTGGTTAAAATTAAATCAGAGTCCCCCAGCATCCCAGGATGCTTTGCAGCTCTGGATTGGGCTGTGTTGTCTGCTTCAGAGAGCAGGACTGGCCCCGCCTCAGTGCTCTCTAGCTGGAGCAGTGAGGGCTGGCTCACTGGCTTCACTGGCTGGCCCACTGTCCCCCCTCGCCCCCCCAGGCAAACCCTGGTTGGGGTCTGGAGCCAGGGAGGGGGTTTAAACTCACCTTCCCCTGAATATACCTTCCCCAGAGCTGCCTTGCCCTGCTGGCTTACTTAGTGCTGGCTGTGATTGTGGACTACAAATACCAGAGGCACCTGGAAGCAGGAAGAAGTAGTGACAAACAAACCTGCAGAATCCTGCTGCTTTGATTTTAGACTGCAAATCCCAGAGACCTTGGGGGCAGCAGGAAGACTAAGAAAACACATAGCCCATGCTGTGTTTATAGTTCTTCAGTTTATAGCTTTGCAGAGAAATAACTATTCTTGTTCAAGCTTTTATGAATTCAATGCCACTACCTTCTCCCTCCCCCTGCCATCCCGCCCCACTTCTCAAGTAGAGCACAGGCTGGGACCCAGCCATGCCCCTTCTGCTCCAGCAGGGAGCAGAGGAAAGTCTTGGAGGACTTCTGTCTTCCCTCCCCTTTGGCAGTGGCTGGTAGTCATGCTCTAGCACCCCCTGGCTGCTGACTTGAGCCACTTCAGGCATGCGGCTGCATTTCCTAAATCAAAAGTGAATGTGTGTTCATTTGCTTAGCAGTTCAACCTCTGCAGTTTAAACTGACCTGCAAAGAATGAATCAATTCAACCTCAGGCTTTTTGACTGTTTATACTTAGCCTATATGCCAGAAGCAGTTTATAGGAGTATGTTTAGCTATGTTAATTTAAAGCACATTCAAAAATCAACCACAAGAGGGGAAGATTGCAGAAACTGAATGACACTGGTACAGTCAGTAAAGTTTAGTTAATAGTTAATATGTGTTTTGATTTTCACAAAATGTAAAAACTAAAGATTCTCTGTAAAAATGCAAATTCTGCATTGCTCTGCATTTTTCCATGGCAAACAGATTTCTTGGATCCCTGGTAATTAGCAAGACATGAGAAGGTGACAGATGAATGGATGGAATGGCCAGAAGAACAAAAGGAGCACTGCATCGAGTTCACAGAGGTGAGGTTTAACCAGATGGTGGAGTTGCCAGGGCAAAACTTTAACAATTAACTTGGAAGCAGTCATCTAGCAAAGGAAACAATTTTGGTTATGGGGAAAGTCTGATTCAAGAATCACATGAAACTTTTGTTGCTACGTGAAAAACAGTCCAGTCTGCAGTGCTGGAGACTGCCGACCATTTGGTCTCTGCCTGGCCTGTGGCCCCCTCACCAATTCACACCAGCTGGGCCCAGTAGGACTCTAGTTGCTACAGAACACATCCTACTTAGACCAACAGTTCGTGAGCAATAGGGTTTCCAGCTAAAACTACTCCCTTAGTGACAGGAAGAACAGGACACTGTAGGAATCCAGAACCTTCAAAACTTCTAGATCTCCTAGCCAATCTGCTCTTCAGCAATCTAGTCAACAAGGATCCTGATCCTACATGGCAAGGAGGAGGTTCATGAAACCTGTGACCTCTCCACAACCTACAAACTTTAAAAATCCATACCAACTTGCCTCCAAAGCCCCAAGTCCTTCTCCATTTTGGGTTGCCCTGTTTATTTATTTTGGCACATGTTTATCAATTATGGAAAGCAATTTACATCTATGCAACATTAATCACAATTTGATGGAACTGGACCGTGGGAAATAAGGCAAGCAATGCAAACGGGGCAGCACTGCTTCTAAGAAAGGCACACAGGGTTTCAAGATTCATCAGCTCAAAAACATGCAGAGCAGAATTCCCACAGCACCAGAGATGTTATGTAGGTCTATGGGCTGAACCATTCTGTACAAAGTTAGAACACAGAGAATGTACTGTGCGATTTCCATGCACTCAGGCAAGAAATCCCAAAACAGAAAGATTGCATTTCACCTTGGGGTGGAACTTGGAGGCAAGCTGGATTAGATGTTTAAAGTCTGTAGGTTGTAGAGGGGTCACAGGCACCATGAACCTCCTGCTTGTGAATTCATGGCCATTTGAAATACTTCCAAAGGTGGAATTCCTAACCATGGCCTGACACATTATTCCCAACCATTAGGCCCTTTCCTCAATGTAGGTGTTTAGGGACTCCTAGACAAGGTGTCTCAAGTGGCTGCCATTTGGGTGTCCCTGATGTGTGGGCTGCTCAAACTCATCCTAGCCTTCTAGACCCCAAGTCCTTCACCCTTGTTCTTGCAGACACATACAGAACACAGCAGGCAAATAAAACCCTTGGCTAGAATTATTTGTCTACTTTTAATCTAAGCACCTAACTTTTAGCATCCCAAGAGTATATTGTATCTGCATGTACTCAGGTGAGAGCTGAACAGTTCTTTCCTGTGATCTAGATGGCCAGCATAAGGTTTCCTCCATCAAAGGATAAGACAACAGATAGGACCCCCAAGGATAAGCAGACCATGCATATGGTTTATATCAGTGCTGGTAGTGGTATTAGCAAACAGCCCTTTATGGCTGAGGGGAAAACAAGGACATCTTTAAAATCATCAGTGCTATTTACTTTTCTAGACCAATCTTCATTAATATTAGTTAACCTAGGTGACAGTGGTCAACTAGGCCCCATAGCATGAAGAAAAAGATCCCTTTCTGTCTTATTATCTCTGAGGTCAGGCAATGGGGGCAAGACATGGGAAAATGGGCTTCATGAATGGCTGTAACAGATCAAATGGTTTACAATCCTTATTATAGCTGTGGCAGCATCTTTGTAATAGCAATTCGTATCTCCTACACGAGAGCTCCCAGTCCACTTGGTTACACCCATGGTATAAATCTCAAATAGGTTGTAGAGTTACATTCCCTGGCTTGTAGGCACCTGCAGGCCACACCCATAACTTTTCATCAAAATTTGTTACTCACTCGGTTAGCTCAGTTTACACTTTGCTACACCCCATTTTTTTCACATCAATAGTCATTTTCAGCATATATTATTTTCTAAATTGTGGATATATAAATATTTGTTACAAATGGGCCTCCAAATGTGTGAGAAAAATTATTCATTTTTAAAAAGTGTTTGTTACAGCTCTTATAAGGGAAAGACCAAGAGCATCAGATGAATTCAAAACAAAACAAAAAAATCTTTTGTGTGCACTGATATCTCAAGACTTCTAGTTCTGGTCCTAGGCCGTGAGTAGATGAAACAAGGGGCATGTGTGCACAACACTTTAAAGTGGGTTAAAAGCTTTTGCACACATCGGTGGCATATTGTGCAGTAATTCCAGCTGCTGTAGCAAATTTGGCAGCATAATGCACCTTAAATTACTTAGGCTGCAGCAACTCCTTTGAGGAGTTCCCTGCTACACAGCTTCTGAGGGGTGTCTTCTATGGGAGCAAAGAACAGAGTGCTGAAAAGTCCAAACTCTGCTTCATGGCTCTGAAACTTAAGAGAGCCTGTACTAGAATTTCTGTCTGGGATGAACAATCTTGACCACACACTTGTCCAAGTCCTTCCCCACTTCACACCCAGCAGCACTAAGCAGTGACTTCACAGTGGGGAAATGTGCTACATTGCGTGACAGAGCTGTTTCTCCCAAAGAGACAGGTTCATTTCAGAGGCATACACAGTATTATAAACCTCAGCCACAAACTGGTTCTGACTCTGCGGTCTCATGTTCAGAGTACTGACATACCCCATTATGTCCATCAAGATGGCAAGGTCCTGCAACCATTCTTCATCTTACAGTTCAGCCATAGGGTCTCTTTCTCACTCACAAATACTTCAATCTCACGTTGCAGTCTGAACAAACACTTTAAGACAGCCCTGTGACTCAGCCGATGCACTTCAGCCTAGTATGGCAATCCATGCTGAAAGTTGTCTTCCTTCAAGAGCCGGTTGAACTGCCAATGGCTCAGAACCGTGGCTCAGATGAAATTCACTGTTTTTACTACAACATTCACTGCATTTTAGTTTGCTGCCCTACAGCCACAGAGCAAAGCACCGGGCTGTGTACAGCTAAGGGGCTTTGCAGGAAGCCCTGCAGGCAGCCTGGAAGTAGCCCCGGAAAGCAGGCTCCGCCCAAGACCTCCCCCCCCCCCCCTTGTCTAAGCTGTGCGGGGGCCCGGTGGTTCCCTCCACGGCTGCAGTGACCTCCGGGATTGCCCGAGCTGGGTGCCTGCACCTGGTGGGGAGGGGGGCCACCGCTGCAGCAGAGGGAAGCACCAGCCCCCCCGCAGCCCAGGGACTGCCTGAGAGGCAGGTAAGTTTGCGTGTGTGCACAACACAGGGGTTTAAAGGGCCCTAAATTGAAGCAATGTTTTTAAAAACCCACTGCTTCAATTTATGGCCCCCGTTTCATCTACACATGCCCCTAGATATCTGGCACCTCCCTCACTATAACCAGGTCCTTGGCACTTGGTTCCAAGAACTGTCCCCAGACTACTTTTAGGACAGTATTCAGGTGCTTGTCACTGAGTTTTGAGCGCAGTTTTTACTTGCTGATGTTCATCAGGCTGTTTACCATCTGTTTGCACACATAGATACTCATGAACATGGAGGTTGCTGTAGATTGCTGCAGGTGAAATGGCTGATATGACAATTTGCAATTATTGGTAAAATTTGTGAATCCGAACTAATGAGAACTTATCCTTTGCCAAAGTGTTACACTGAAGATCAGTAAGTTCTAATTGCCACTTGTAACAGGATAGTACCCAAGGGCTGCCATGACCCTCCCCAACTCTCGCTCTAGCCTCTCAGGGTCTCACCCTGCTTTGTCACATGCCACACCTTGGTGTTAAAGGTAACGAGGGGAGGCTGGCCTCAGCATCTGGTGAGCCCAGGGTTCTCCCTCTCCCTCTCTCTCTCTCTCTGTACTTGTTCCTTCTCTTAGGCCCAGCTTAGTCCACTAAATCTTGGGTTCCAATTCTCCCCCTTTGGCCCACAGTCTCTTCGCCTTGGAGCTTCCAACCCTACAGACCCAAACCACCTGAAAGGCTAAATTTGTTGCCTCCTTCCACCCCTACTACCATGTTCATGCCTTGCAGATGTTACTTTGTCCACAGATTAGTCTTCTTGTAGAGGTGACAGCTCTCTTGCCTTTAGCTCCCCTTACTCTGGCTTCAGGCTTCCAGCCCTGGCCCACTGATTCAGGCCCAGCCCTCCCTGTGTCTTTTGTCTCCAGGTCCCTCATCCCTGTCTTGTGCCTTGTCCCAGCCCCCCAGCTTCCCCTACCCAGGTAAAGCTGTTCTTGGCTCAGCTCAGCCCCCTGGCATCCTTGACTCAGGGCAAGGCTGCTCTTGGTTCAGCCCAGCCCCTCTAAAATGTTTGTGCTTTTGTCCCAAGCAGCCCACCAGGTCCCAGACCCTGGAAGGGCTCTATGCTGGGTGCCTCTGCAGCACCCCTGTGGCCTCTAATCCACTCCTATCAGCCACATCCAGTCCTCTGGTACTCAACAAACATAAACCACAGCACAACAGAGATATAAGCAAATTGCTTCCACAATGTATTCCCCCACTATCAGTCAACTAGCAAATTGGTTGTCAAGAATGACCGGGGGAGGGGGACAGGTGGGGACAGAGGCCTGCATCCACCCCCCCACCGCTTGGGGCCAGGCCCACTCCCCCATCTGCTTTGGGGCCAGGGCCAGAGCCAGGCCCCCCCCTCCGCAGCTTCAGGCCAGGGCTGGAACCAGGGCTAGGGTCAAACCACCCATCCCCCCTGCTGCTTTGAGCCATGGCGAGGGCTGGGGCCACTCCCCGCCGTTGCTTCAGGCCATTCACCCCCGGGCCAGGGCCACTCCTCCCCTCCACCTCCTCCCACTGCTTCAGGCCGAGGATGCTCCCTGCTTTCCCCCTCCACCACTTTTGGCCGGGGCCAGGGCCCAGCCCCGCACCCCAGGTCCATCGCTGCTGTCGCTTCATGCCACGGCAGGCGAGGCCAGCTCTGCTGGCCTTGCCCCTTGCTCCATTGCCACAATCATAGCGGTGTGGCCACTACCTCCTGTCTGAACGCTCACACTGATTGGTTGTTTCAGACAACCAATTAGAGTGTAAATAAAGCATTACAGACAGACAGACTAAGGCTTTTATAATATTAGAATACCTTAGCACAAGCTATAGGCCTCAGTGCTAGGCTTGCTCTCACCCTTGTGTGTAGTGTGGGTTGCAGTACCCTGGGCACTGCACCCTGTGGTCCGCTTCACCCAGGGAGCTCCTCTCCCTGCAGCGTGCAGGGGCTGACTGCCTGCTCTGGCTCAGGCCCTGGGTTTATATGCCTCAAAGCCGTGCCACAAACAGGGGTTAAGGGCCAGTCTGCGCTCCTCTTAGTTAAGGGCCAGTCTGCACTCCTGCTGTTGCAGTCCCACACAGCCAGCTTAGCCTGATGCCTTCTTTTAAAGTGGCTCCCTGTCTTTCTGTTATAATCCCCTCTCCTCCCCCTCCATTGTACCCGAGTTTGGGTTCCCTGTTACACGGCTTCTGAGGGGTGTCTTCTATGGGAGCAAAGAACAGAGTGCTGAAAAGTCCAAACTCCGCTTCATGGCTCTGAAACTTAAGAGAGCCTGTACTAGAATTTCTGTCTGGGATGAACAATCTTGACCACATACTTCTCCAAGTCCTTCCCCACTTCACACCCAGCAGCACTAAGCAGTGACTTCACAGTGGGGAAATGTGCTACATTGCGTGACAGAGCTGTTTCTCCCAAAGAGACAGGTTCATTTCAGAGGCATACACAGTATTATAAACCTCAGCCACAAACTGGTTCTGACTCTGCGGTCTCATGTTCAGAGTACTGACATACCCCATTATGTCCATCAAGATGGCAAGGTCCTGCAACCATTCTTCATCTTGCAGTTCAGCCATAGGGTCTCTTTCTCACTCACAAATACTTCAATCTCACGTTGCAGTCTGAACAAACACTTTAAGACAGCCCTGTGACTCAGCCGATGCACTTCAGCCTAGTATGGCAATCCATGCTGAAAGTTGTCTTCCTTCAAGAGCCGGTTAAACTGCCAATGGCTAAGAACCGTGGCTCAGATGAAATTCACTGTTTTTACTACAACATTCATTGCATGGTTCTAGAGTTCAAGCACAGACAGTTTCCTGATGCAGCATGCAATGAAAAACACAAAACACATGGCTAGATCAACACTCTGCGCTTGGCTCTTGAGTTATGCCACAAACCCTGCCTTCCTTTCCACCATTGAATGAATAAGTCCTATCTGTTGCAGGAATGAGCCATGCTGGGTAGAATGAGCCATGCTCTTCAAAAAGTCCTCTTCTTTCATTGTTTCTTTCCTCAGCATGAACTCCACGGACTCTTCTGTCACATTCATACCTTAACTGACATCCTGATTGAACATGGCTAGCTGCACAATGCTATTTTCAAATACTTGTCACTTCTTTGGGCACACAATGTCTATAGCCACTATTATACATTTCTTCGAGAACTCTTCTTCAGCAAAGGGCATTGAAGAAAAAGCTATTTCGTGAAAAAGGACATAGCTAGCTGTCACTACTCCATCATTTATGTGAAGCATTTTTTTGAAGACAGACTGCTGCTTTTTCAACAACTTCTTATTCACTCAGTTTCACTTCATGCAACTTCCCAGTAAACTTTTCATAGTTGAAGCCATGACATGACTCCTAATGTCTCTTAACACTGTGTTCTTGGAAACCACACACAGATTTTCCATTTGTTTCTCTGAAGAAGTACAAGAGCCTTCATTTCTCTTGGAAAGCATGGTACTCCCTGTCCAGTGTAAAAGGGTTACTCTCCCAATTTCCTGATATAAAATAGTTGGCTTTGATTCCAGGGTTTCCAGGCAGTTTATGAGATTCAGGGCAATCTTGTGCCTACCGTAAATGTGCCAAACAAAAAAATCCCAAGGAAGCAAGCCAGCAAACAAACAAAATCAAAAGCTGCTGTCTTTCTCCAGACTGAAGACTGGGTAATCCTGGCTCTAGTTCTCCATCAGCACCACACATATGTGACTGGTAGGGGGGCCACAGAGGGTCATGTGCCCCTCCTAAGATTGGCCACTGCCAACACCGCTGCCGACTTCTATGAACAGTTGCCGCTCACCACATCCGCCCCCCACAGCCACCTTCTGTGGGCAGTCGCCGCTATCCACCCCACTGCCAATGCTGTCAATGCTGCCACCCACAAACTGTGCCCCCGCAGTCTCAGGATACGCCAGTCACCCATGGCACCACAGCTCCTCCCTCCTCTGCACCCTGCTCCTGGAGTTTTTAACACTGTTTGTAGCTCTACCCTTTTTACCTGGTCATCAGTTTCAACTGGCTCCCAGCCTGCCAACCAGGCAGATCATTAGCTGGTGACCACCTGTGGCTGGGTTTCAAGCCCCTGAAGGCTGAGTACCTCCTTATATCCAGTTTCCAGCTTGCCCACGCTATTATCTCTATTATTTAAAATGGTGCCATCTCTTTCCCAGAAAAGTAATGGGGGGAATCATAGGTTTGTCACTTTCCCTCTGTTTTGGGTGGGGTTTTCTTGTTTTTTGGGGTTTTTTTGTAATTAACACAGTTTTTTCAATTGTGGAACATGGGGACTGCTTCATATATCACTGTGTCCTAGAGCAACTATGTCAGACTGCAAAGGGTTAGTCAGACACATGAAGAACCCTGGGATACTCACCTCTAGAACTGGGGCAGCTTCCTCCTGCATTTCTTCCTGGAGCATGGATTCTTGGTAATGGACTGGACAGCCATTCATATGGGCAAAGTTACACCTAGGCAGTTACTTCAAGATGCATGCCTCAGGATTCCACATTTCAAAGCAACTCCATTCAAGTAGCGATAGCCTACTAAAAAGCAAAACTAAATCCTTTCAAGTGAAAAAGGCAATTTGAGACCTCTTCAAGGTTCCTTTGCACCCCCAAAAATTCTTAAACTAGACCTCTGGTGCTGGCTGAAGGATAGTCTACCTCAAACTTGTCAATATAGGAAATTACCTGTCACCCTGTCAGCAGCTGTAAGAATGTCCATGAAGGGTTTGCTTCTAGTAGCAGCTCAGTTGAGAGAATAAGATATTCTATACTTAAGAATTTAATGCCGGGTTGTGAGAAAGGTGTGTTACATTTGGCAGGCAAGATTCTTTGAGTAGATGTGATATCTTTTATTAGACCAACTGAGTAGTTGGAAAAAAAGTTCTTAGCAAGCTTTCGGGTGCAATCACCATTTTTCAAGTATAGGAAGTCTCTGCTGTTCTGAGTCTCCAAAGGAATGAGAGACCCTAAAAGTGTGACAGGATGTCAGTGAGAATGTAAACGGGTAGAAATTAGGAAAACAAAATGTAAAACAAGAAAGGGAGGGGGCAAAAAGCAGGGGGGAAAAGCCAAAGGTGAGTAAGGGAGACACTACACTGGTAGTATGTGGGAAAGAGGCTGCCTGTGAAAATGGAAGTAGCTGGAAATTAGGAAAACAAAGGGCAGCAAAGTAGGGAAGGGGAGGGGAGAAAGTGGGGGAGGGAATGTAAGAGGTCAAGTCTGGCAGATACCTGGGGAATCAGATGTCAGGCAGGTTGTAATGTGTCATAAATCCAATGTCTATATTGAGTCCATAATTTTTGTATGCGGTAGATTAGTGAAGTGAAATTCCTAGGCTCGTCTATGAAAGGTGTTTTGTAAGTTCCCTTTGAGGGTTAGAACTGAGAGATGTGAGAAAGGGAGTGATTGTCCTGTGAGAAATGTGTCCCCACAGGTAGTTGGGTATTTGTCTTTGACAGATTTTTGGTGTGCGCTCGTTCTGGTGTGCAGTTGTTTTTTGGTTTCTCCTACATATTTTCCATCGGGGCATGTGGTGCACTGGATGAGATATATTACATTGCTGGAGGTGCAGCTGTAAGATCCGGGAATGCTGATGGTTCTGTTGTGAGGTGTAGTTATTATGTGGGTGGTAGAGATGTGATGGCAGGTTTGGCAGCCCAAAAATTAAAGCAAAGTATTATAATATCTACCCAAAAGATAGAGTTTATAGGAGCATTCACTCATGCATTCACTGTTATGAAGTGGGTCTATCTACTGCAAGTCAGATAACATCTTTCATCATAAGCCAATTTGAGAAAAAAACTAAGCTATTAACCTATGGAATCTATGGATTTATCATAAGAAAAGTCTCAGCCAGGCAACTACTAGGACTTCTGAACATATTGCCAGACCAGTTAAGAAGATGCTTCTTTCAAAACTAAAGCACTGAAGCACTCTGTCCTCTGCTCAGTATTTGACCAATGGAGGTTTTTCCATAGACTTGATTGCAACTAAACACAATAAAACATACAAGTGTTTTTGCTTGAGATGGGATGAGTCTCAAGTTAATGTCTTCCTCATATCATGGACAAAGATATACTTTTATGTGAATTCACTAATTTCTCCTTTTCTAAGAGTACTGAAAAGATCAAATAGAATTATTAAATGATCTTGCTTGGTTTAGGCATTATAGGTTTCCAGAGCTCAAGGAAATGCTTGCCCACTAATAACTCTATTTCTACATTTGGATATGATCAATCTAAATCAAGAAGAGACTCTCATATCCCTTTCTTTCATTGCCTGGTAACTGCCTGGTTAACTGACTAGGACACTCCTGGTTTAGAGGATACAGAAGAACATATTCTAAAACTGAAAAGTCTATCAGATCTATATGTGCTAATACAAGGAAAAGATTTAAAATCTGCTCCCTCAGTAATTTTCCTCATCAAAAACTGAGATTCCTGACATTTTTTAATATCTGTTCCTTTGAATAATTTAGGTCTTTGTCTGCTCACTGCAGGTCCACTTGACAGCCATTTTTGCCCACCATCCACCACTTCCTGAGCTACATATACTATTTTCTCCCATCCAACTGTAACCAAGTTTCTCAAAGGACTTGTTCAAATTGTTCCACTACTTCAAGAGCCTCCACCCACATGAGACTTTCATGGTGTCCTTAAGAACTTGATGGTCCTCCATTTAAGCCAATGGATACTTCTTTTTTGAATCTCTTTATGAAGATGACAATCACAGTGGCAAATTCTTCAGAGTGAAGAATAAAGCTACAAGCTACCATGATGTGGGCCCTCTAAAACTACTTTGCATAAGGAAAAGATCACAGTTAGACTGTACCCTTTGTTAATTCTGAATGTCATGTTTATCAGTTCTACTCCCTGGCCCTGCCAATCACACTTTCCTACAAGAGAGAGCCTGGTTCCATGCACATCAGAAGTGGTATACATACCACTCAACTCAAAGAACTTCAGTTATTGCTCAAGTAAGTAATTTCTCTTTGCAATAAAAGAGCATTTCCTATATTGCCACGCATCCATTAAAGGAATGGAAAATGGAAAGGTATTCTGTGTTTCACTTCAGGACCATGACAAGCATGGGACCGATTACTCTTTGATTGGTCTTGTTTATTTTCAAGGTATGTATTTTTAGTCCTTTCTACCAAAGCAAAGAAGTCCTTATTGGATGCCTTCTATCCTCAGAAATGGGCACACTTGAAACAGAAAGAAAGATACAGACATTTAGCATTACATATATCTTCTCCATTGTAATGCAAACCTTCCATTTCAATTTCAAAATATATGGTAAATTTACAACTGCATAATGTTTTAAGAGTACTCAGGAATTAAGGATTTTATACAGTTTATAACAACCTCTACTGTTCTTCTAGTAAACATCTGGCTGTTTAATTTCCCCTCTAAAAATCTAATTTTAAGTCAAATATTTTCCGTTGTGTTGGACTATGGAGACTAATACATTATTTATACTCTTACAGCTATCACTACAAATATTTGTTTTGTATCTCAGTAGTAAATCTCAGGAATAATAACTCTCATGCAGTCTTCCTAAAGCAAAAGCAAATGTAAGCACCATGTTGGATCTGCCACCATGTGCCATGTGGGCCAAAAGTGCATATTTCACATCCCTGTAAACTCTGGGGGTGCATCTACACATGTAATGATGGTGGAGAAATAAACTCTGATGCAGTTCATGCTGAAGTTTATTTCTCCCAGGTGCATTTATATGTGCATCCAGGACCGCAGCATGTTGAGCCAGGGTGGAGCAGCAAGGGTTCAGCCGGTCAGCCCCAGGCTCCAGGTGGTCGTGGCGGGTGGTGGAGGTGCTCACTGGGGCATGAGGGTGCTATAGTGTGGGGCTATCCAGCAGGAAGTCCCTGCACTGTAGCACCCTCATGCCCCAGTCAGCCCCAGTCACCATCTACACATGCTTTGTGGCACCATAAGTTACTCCGTCATAGAATAGTACTTGTCCCAGACAATACGATCCTATGGTGGAGTTAATTAAATTACTGCGCACTTATATGAGTATATATGTAAGCGGTTATGCTTTACTGTGGAGTTAATTAGTCACTGGGCAGCGTAGTTTGGGGAGAAGGTGGGCAGCCTTCAGTGGTGAAAGAACAGGTTAGGGGCTATTTAGAAAAGCTGGACATGTACAAGTCCATGGAGCTGGATGCAGTGCATCCAAGGGTGCTGAGGGATTTGGCAATGTGATTGCAGAGCCACTGGCTATTATTTTTTAATAACTGGAAAAGGGCAAATACAGTGCCCATCTTTAAGAAAGGCAAGAAGGAGGTTCCAGGGAACTATAGACCAGTCAGCCTCACCTCAGTTCAGTGGCGACAGGTAGCGGGTGCATGGGGGTGCACCCCCAAAAGCACTGGTGTACCCCCTGACAGGCTGCACTCCCTGCTTAGGTGATGGGCAGGGGGGTCAGGCGGGAGCACTGGTGCCTCCCTGCGAGTGCTGGCCGGGGAGTAGGAGCACGGGATGAAATACTGTGGCCGCTTCTTGGAGTGCCACAGCCACTTCCTGGTCGGCACTATCAGCCACAGGGACGCCCCCCGCCGACCCGGTTGGTGAGATTGGCCTCAGTTGCTGACTGGTCGCTGGGGTGGCACGTGCCCCCCCTGACTGAAGTGGCACCAGTCACCCATGCCTCAGTCCCAGGAAAAATCATGGAGCAGGTCTGAACGTAATCAATTTCTAAGCACTTGAAAGAAAAGAAAGTGATCAGGAACAATCAGCATGGATTCACCAAAGGCAAATCATGCCTGAACCTGGCTGCCTTCTATGGTGAGATAACTGATTCTGTGGATGCGGAGAAAGCAGTGGACATTTTATACCTTGACTTTAGCAAGGCTTTTGCTATGGTCTCCCACAGCATTCTTGTAAGCAAGCTAAGGAAATACTGGTTGGATGAATGGACTGTAAAGTAGATAGAAAGATGGTTGTATCACCAGGCTCAATGGATAGTGATCACTGGATCAATGTCTAGTTGGCAGCTGGTATCAAGTGGAGTGCCCCAGGGGTTGGTCCTGGGGCTGATTTTGTTCAATATCTTCATTAACAATCTGGAGGATGGGATGGATTGCATGGTCAGCAAGTTCACGGATGATACCAAGCTAGAGGGAGTAGTAGCTATAGTGGAGGGTAGGGCTAGGATTCAGAGTGACCCAGGCAAATTGGAGGATTGGGCCAAAGGAAATCTCATGAGGTTGAACAAGGACAAGTGCAAAATCCTGCATTTAGGATGAAATAATCCTATGTACCACTACAGGTATGAGACCAACTGGCTAAGCAGCAGCTCTGCAGAAATGGAATGGGGGGTTACAGTGGACAATAAGCTGGATATAAGTCTACAGTGTGTCCTTCTTGCCAAGAAGGCTAACAGCATACCGGGCTGCATTAGTAGGAGCATTGCCATTGCCAGCAGATCAAGGGAATTAATTATTCCCCTCTATTCTCCACTGGTGAGGCCACATCCGGAGTACTGTGAGCAGTTTTGGGGCCCCTAATACAGGAAGGATGTGGACAAGTTGGAGAGAGTCCAGAGGAGGGTAATGACAGTGGTTAGGTGGCTGGGGTATGTGGCTTCTGAGAAGAGGCTGAGGGAACTGGGCTTATTTAGCTTGTAGAAGAGAAGAATGAATGGGGATTTGATAGCAGCCTTTAACTACATGATGGGAGGTTCCTAAGAAGATGAAGCTAGACTGTTCTCAGTAGTGGCAGATGACAGAGAAGGAGCAATGGTCTCAAGTTGCAGTAAGGAAAGTTTGGGTTAAATATTAGGGAAAACTTTCTCACTAGGAGGGTGGTGAAGCACTGGAATGGGTTACTTAGAGAGGTGGTGGTAGAATCTCCATCCTTAGAGGTTTTTAAGGCCTGGCTTGACAAAGCCCTGGCTAGAATGATCTGCTTGGGGGTGGCCTTGCTTTGAGCAGGGGGTTGGACTAGGTGACCTCCTGAGGTCCCTTCCAACCTTAATTTTCTATGATCCTATGAGTATAAAATCAGACTATATACTTTAGGCTAATCTCAGCATTTTGGCATAGTGATTCTAATTCTAACAAGTTTGGACAGCGGAGGGGATGAATCTGTGCACTGGTCTGTGATCACATAGATGAAAAATGAGAAGGAGAAAACATCCCTAAACTGAGAGTACTCAATTCCCAAAGCCAATTTGTTTTTCCTTACAGACATTTTCAGAGTTGCCAGTCAAATAGAAATAGAATACTTGCATGGAGGTGGCTGGAGAATAGCATATGTAATCCTGTTTGTCCTGCAGAAGTGTTAGTAATTTTAACTAACTGTTCTCCACCAAGATGAGCAGAGAAATGGTATGTTAATAATATCAGAGCCACCATTCAATTAATCAGGTTTCAGCTGTGAGGGCAAGGACTTGAAAAAAAACGAACCCCCTTTTATTGCCAGCCCTTCCTGATATACAGCTCTCCTGAAGAATTGTGGGAGTGAGATGAGTGGGGGTGTGGGTGGAGCTAAGGCAGAGAAAATCTCTGCAACATGTTCTTGTTTTTCCCTTCCCACCAACCCTTTTCTGTTTAGGGATAGAGGTGGTCTTTGTAGGAAATTAACATTGAGGCCCCAACTTAGAACCCTAGAGACCTTAGGGAACTGTAAGGAGTGAGGATAAGGTTCAGTAATACAGGCCAGTTCTGAAGCTAATGTAAATAGGATTCAATGGAGCTATACAAGTTAAAGATCTGACTTATCTTGCCAGTTCTCTTTCCC